CGATGCAAAATTCCTATTGTGATCACAGAAACTTTGATAGTGCAAACCAGCCTTTATACGTACGACCACGTTTTTATGTTTATCAATTACCTTTCTCAATATCTTGTTTTTACCCGCAGCCTGCAGGAGAAGACTTCGAAGTAAAACAACTTTACTCTACAAACTGGCAGGTACATGAACATGCGAGCACGTCTGTGCAAGCGTCTGGATTGCCCTCACAATATTTCCTTGTCTATTCAGGTCGTAAACTGCAGCACCCCAGCAAACTATTTTCATGTTATAAGACGACAATGCAAGATGGACTTCAGAAAACCGGCAAGCGTTGAATAGACTTTTCTTGATTTAAATGTTTTAATATTTTAACACTCCAGGAATTCTCAATCATGTCTTTATCTTTCAGCTCATTATTTTTACACCAAAAAGTTTGCTTCGTTTGCCAGCAGCAAAATCTGCCTTGGAAGACATGAGTGAAGGTAAAGTAAGATCTGGTCATTTCTGAAATTGAACAGCATTGCTGTGACCCTTTTTGACACCTAGTAATTCTGACGTCCGCTTGCCATAACGTATTTTCCGACATTGCCAGGTACGTCATTCCGTCGATGCATTCTAGAAGACGGTGCTGCCAGTAAGAACCCTGAAGGAGTTAAGAAATTGATTCTTTGTACTGGCAAGGTTTATTATGACCTCATTAAGGTAAGTCTCCTCACGAGAAGATAATAACGAGGTAATGAAACATTTAATGAAGCCAGGCAATAAAACATTTAATGGAGCCAGGTAATAAAACATTTAATGAAGCCAGGTAATGTATGAAACATAAATTTTTATCTCCAGGCACGTGATGAGAAGAAATTAGATTCGGATATCGCTATCACCAGAGTCGAACAGGTAATGATGGTCAAAACTCACAAGCAGAAAGCCTTTTGCTTCTGTTTTTATCATTTTGTACAATGCAATTAACCTCCATGCCCCAGGAGTATTTCAGGTATTTAGAGATCGAGCTTTTACAGGTACTTAACCTTAAAATGAGCATCTTATTGAACTAGTTGAATTATGACTTCAAACACAATATGTTGAAACTATTCATCATCTTAATTGGGTGTCGTTTATGTAACACCTTTTTGACCACTTCTCTGCAGCTCTGTCCCTTCCCCTTCGACTACATCAAGGAAGAGACGGAGAAATACCGCAATGCAGAGATAACATGGACTCAAGAAGAACCAAAGAACATGGGCTACTGGAGTTACGTCAAGCCTCGTATAGAAACTGCCACTGGACATGCCAAGAAAGTGTGGTGAGTGAGGCTTGCCATATAACATGTAATAAGGTGTAATATGTTGCAAAACACTTCTCCTCTTTTACAATTTTGATGTCATATTGGACTCCTTGGAAAGTTCTGCCCCAGGCCCTTGAAGGGATAGCAGGCAGTAACTTGCATCTTGTGTTTTGTTATTTTAGGTATGCGGGTAGACCTCCAGCAGCTGCAGTGGCAACAGGAAGTAAAAAAATACATAATAATGAACAGGATG